AGAAAAAGGGACAATAGTTGAAACTTAGACCTTGATGAATGGGTTTGTTCAATCTCGATCCAATTGTTGTTAGGCCTAAGTTAGGACAGCCCATAATGTTGGACTGGGCTAATTTACAAGATACAACTAATATTATGTTAGGCTTGACAAATATTAGTCCAACCCTAACACATATTTCTAGCCTTGCGTTGCTAAGTGCACAGACGACGTCGTTTTGAAGTGTGTGGTAGGTGTCCAAGCAGCGTTGGCAGGCAGACGCAATACCTACTATAAATACTGCTCTTTGAGGTCAGACTCTGCATTTTGGATCTGGGGCCTCTCTCGTCCCAAAATCCTTTCGGTCTCTATTGATTTCTCCCTCCAAACCTTAACCCTAGAATTTGTTCCCTCCCTTTCTACTCAAACTGTCTGCGCGGGACATATATCAATCAGATTAACCGTTGAGACAAGGATCAAAACCCTAGCTGCAGTTTATTGCGATCTTTTTCGAGCTAGGGTTTGAGAAAATCTTTGTTCTCAGAGATCATGAATCAGTTTGTTTAAACTTGTATCGTTTATGATTCGGTTGCTGGTGTATCGTAATGTCTCGGTGTTTTCCGTATCCTTCTCCTGGATACGTGAAGAAGGGGATCAACGATGAGGCCCTAATCGAATCGATTAAGGTTTGTTGAGCATCGTTGCTTTGTGGGTCTTTGACTTTGTGCTCGACGTAGTGTGTTCGATTGGGTTCTTTTCGATATGTGTATATTCAGCTCTCGTATGATAATATTTTTGTACTTATAAGAACCCAACAAAGAGCAAAAACAAAAAATGAAATGACAGTTTTACCAGAACTGTATGGTGGGTTTTACAATCAATAGCTCTTTTAAATCCCCTGGGAACCTAACATAAGCCAGTAATCATTATCAAACATGAGTTTTCTTAATGGACTTATGTTGGATTGGACGAATTTGGATTTGGATGGGTCTCTAAGTAGCCAAACCTTAAACTGTTGGTTTACGGTTTGAGCTCCTCCTCCCAAACCTTAAGTTGTACTTGTACTGCGGTATTTACATCTTGTGTTCATGCTTGTGGCACATTATTGTCTGCTGTCTTCCTTGTAGGAATTGAAAATGGTATTCTGAAACTTTGGTAGTAACTTGGTAACTTTTCGGTTGATGTGTGTCAATGGTAGTCATCTCTTTGCACGTGAAGTGTTCATGGTATTTGGAATCAAACAACCAGGCTTGATACCTCTTTGTATTCCTTGATGCTATGCTCTGGTTTCTAATTGTGTCGTTTGGCCTTCAACCATAGCTGAATAGGTTTTTGCTAATACATGCGTTTGCCTGTGTTTATGATATCTTCTAGGCATTTCACAGTGCCAAGTTGTTAAGCTTGGGATTGTATTATGTGGAAAATAAGCGGAGATTATTTGAGATGTATGAGATGGAAATGCATGACATTCTTGTGTTATTTATGCGATGAGATGTTTTGAGATATGTGTATATATGTAGGCATGTCCTGGCTTGTTTGAAACTCATTATAGTTCTCGCTATGTTGAAAATAGTTTGAAAGTTTGAGATAACCAAGAATGAGTTTGCACTACAGTGGATTATGAAGTGAATGAGGTTAATTGTGTCCTTAGAGACTCATAATCAGTTTGGAGGTTGTTAAGTATCTTTATTTTTTGGGTGTTAATATAAGTTAAGTTTATTAGACTGGGTAGTTTATGCATCAAATAATGTTATAAAATTTTGCTTGGTGTACATGGAAAGAAGTACGCTTAGATATGTCAACTGGTGGGTTGGGGATGTGCGTATGTTGTAGGGCTTGAGTTCTTTTTTTGTTGTTTGTTTGTCTAGGGGACGTGTATGGTTTAAGTTGTGTTTGAAGATGCCTTGGTGGTGGAAATGGTAGACACGCGAGACACAAAATTGTCTTGTGCTTAAGAGCGTGGAGGTTCGAGTCCTCTTCAAGGCATAAAATGAACATTCATGTTGTTTTTCGTTGGAGTTGCATTGATCATATTTTATTTATAGTTTCACCTTTAAATACCCTCCTGCCAGCTAAATGTTAATACTTATTCCATTTGAGTGGAGGATGTGCTATGGTTAGTGCTATCTCTATGCAGCAAAGTAAGAGTGAAGTATCTATGGTGCGTCTAAAGAAGTTGGTGTAGTTTCTATTCTAAATTCTGCATACTGATTGGTTTAGGTGCTTGTTGGAACAATGACACTGTTATTGATGTCACATACCAAAATTTGATACAGAAATTCTCATCATAGATCATGTGAAGCTGGTTCTGGCTTCAATTTTGATTGCATGAGTGCTATTGTTCTCTTACATCTCCTCCTGACCTCAAGCTTCCTCATACTTCTTAACTGAAAATTGATCTTAAAAGGATGTCATATACAAGAAATTGCTGTTTGCTTTTGCTTGTTTGTTTTTGTGACTTTCTGTTGAAATGTTCCTTAATGAGTTCAAAAATTGATGGTTATTCTTGTTATTTGAAGCTCCAAAGAGAAGATGTAAAGGCCAAGAAAGAAAAGAAGAGAGAGAAAAAACGAGAGAAGAAAGAAAAGAAGGCTAGAGAAAATGGGGAGCTTGAAAATAAGAAGCACAGTCATAAAAAAAGGCACAAAGATGAAAGGCACCAAGAAGATGAGAAAGGTAGAGACCATGGAAAGAAAAGAAAGCATGAAATAGAAAACCTTGACAAGAGTACCCTTACTGAAGAGCACGAACATCCAGTTGGTTCCCAGAACTCTTCTGATAGCACTGTTGACAGCAACAAAAGGCCGAAGCAGAAATCGTACCTTGATGGCATGCATAATTCTGGTGAGTGTGTTTATGTTTCTTCCTTACCTGGAAGAAGGTTGCTTGCCTGTTGGGTTTGTTAGCTTCTCATGGGCTGATATTCTTTATTCCAAATGTTATTATGATGTGAAGCAAGCATTTTCCGGATCCGGTTGCCTCTCCAAAGGCACAAAGATCCTGAAGTGCTACCCAGAGAGGAACAACCTTGCCAGTTGCCAATTCAGAAGCACAAAGATCCACAAATGCTACCCAGCCTAGAACAACCTTCCCGGTTGTCTCTTCAAAGGCACAAAGATCCGCAAGTGCTTCCCAGCCAAGAACAGCCTTCCCGTCTGTCTCTCCAAAGGCACAAAGATCCACCAGTGCTTCCAAGCCAAGAACAGCCTTCTCGGTTGTCTCTCCAAAGGCGTAAAGATCCACAAGTGCTTCCAAGCCAAGAACAGCCTTCCCGACTGTCTCTCCAAAGGCACACAGGTCCACAAATGCTACCCAGCCAACAACAGCCTTCTCGGTTGTCTCTCCAAAGGCACAAAGATCCACAAGTGCTACCCAGCCAAGAACAGCCTTGCTCTGCCTCGGGAAGGACTGATAATGCCTTTGTACAAGGAATGCATGAAGCTGCTCCTAGACAAGGCAGAGATGAGGGACAACATCCCTGCTCTACTTTTGGAAATTCTGGCAAAGAAGTCCCTGTCGGACTTGGTAAAGAAAAGCTCCGAGCAACTGGTAGTGCTTCACTTTCTATAACATCAAAATACATAGAGCTAATTGAAAACTGGGATCAACATCCTTTGTTGCAAAGCTTTCCCATGGATGTTGATGATCAGGGATGGTTGTTTGAGACAAAGCAGAACTGGAGCTGCGGGGCTGATGAACGAATATTTGTGAGTGACAGCTTGAGCTACGGAGACTCAGCGTCTTGGCCATGTGCTCGCCAGTTGCCCCAGTTGCCCAAGGCTGATATATACGCTTTGCCCTTTACAGTACCATTCTAAACTGCCCTTGGAAAACTGCATTGGAAAGTGGAAGAAAGACAAGTGAGGAGCTCCAGTGAACTTTATTCTTCATACGTGTTCTAGGTGCAGAAAGTGTGAAGAGTTTGTTTCCGGCTTTTGTGCTGTTGTTTGCCTCTTGTGCCTGGTTGGGTTGGAAAAAAAAAAAACTTTGGGTGGTAGAGATTGAGGAATTAAAGATTTCTTCTTTTTGTAGGTAGATGGCATCTTGATGTATCACAACTTTGCAATTCTTTGATCAATTATAATATCATATTCCGTTTCTCATTCTCCCTTTGTTTTTGGTAATTGGTTCTTTGGTCATCAGCTTTGTGTACTTCGTCTAATGACGTTCATTAGCTGCCGGTCCCTAATTAGTAATTGTACCTACTTATAAACAACTCAAATGCTACAACGGTCTGATTGGTTTAAGGTTTATTACTTGTTTAAGAAGAATAATTAATTGGAATTCAGTTAATCTTAATAACTGTATCCTCCTTTTAAAAAATTATAAAGGAATTCTCTGATCGGTCTCTTAAGATCGGTCTCTTAAGATCACTCTCTAAACATCTAAACATCTCATATGATTACGAACACATTCCACCATTTTCTGAATATCTCATAGGACTACAAACACTATTAATATTTCTCTGAATATCTCATACAACTCATACAATTACAAACACTATGAACACTTGTCGTAGGTACTATGGAAGGATTTCCTTTATAATTTTCAACAATCTCAAGGAACTATTAACTTTACCAAGTTTACTGTTGTAATTTTAGAAAAACTCGGAGAAATAAGATTTTTGGTTAGTGAATATTGAGCCTTTTTCCTTTCCACAACCAAAGGGCCCAAGTAAGGGATTGATAAAGAAAGAAATAACCCATGAAACCGGGTCAGGATCCAATTTCACAGACAGACCCAAGCTCGACCAAATAGAATTGGACGGGCAGTTGGGGCCAAAACCAGACTGGTCAAAACGCAACTTCATAGAGAGAGAGAGAGAGACCGAGACTGAGAGAGAGAAGATGATCTCGGACGGAGTGGAAGATGAAGAGAAATGGCTGGCAGCTGGAATCGCCGGCCTTCAACAAAACGCCTTCTATATGCATCGCGCTCTGGTAACTCCAATCAATCAAATCCTTAATTCTTTGCTCTCTGATTCTAGACCTTGTTTGTTCTCCCTGAAAATTGAGTGAAGCCCTTTTTTTCCGTCAGGACTCGAACAATCTCAGAGATGCCCTCAAGTATTCAGCTCAGATGCTTTCGGAACTTCGAACCTCGAAGCTTTCCCCTCACAAATACTACGAACTCTGTAAGTACTTCTTCTCGTTGATCCAGTGAGGTTGAGATATTTTCTTGGCTTAGTTTTGCAGTTTGGGAAATGCTGAATGTGTGCTTAGTTTTTGGCTTGGTGATTTTGTGGTTTGGATGCCCTCAGATATGCGAGCGTTTGACGAATTGAGGAAATTGGAGATGTTCTTCAAGGAGGAGGCTCGGCGCGGTTGCTCCATTATCGATCTCTATGAGCTTGTGCAGCATGCTGGCAACATATTGCCCAGATTGTAAGTCTTAATTGTGTTAAAAACTCTACCTAATTGTTAATCTTCAGTTGCACATGTATCACTTACTTACTTAGTTTTTGGCTTCGGTAGTTCATTAAGAGTGCCCAGGATATGACCCTGTTTGTGAACTATGCTGCACATACCATCTTATTCACCTAATTAGCATTGTGGTCTTATTTCTTCCTGTAGTGTAATTCTGTTAGTTTAAAATCAGTTAACATGCTACAATTTAAAAAATTCACTAATACAATACTAAACCTTATACAAAGACCCACAATTAGCCGAAACGGCAATTGATGATTTGATCTAGTATCGATGTCTTTGTAATGTAGTTTTATACAAATGTGAGTTGGTTGATTTTTCCTTTCAGTTTGTTCATTTGAGTGTGTTGAATTCATCTAAAGTGAAGAATAAATCATAGCTATACCATTTCCATAGCTAATATGTGAGTTTCATGATCTCTATCAGGTATCTTCTCTGTACAGTAGGATCTGTGTACATCAAATCTAAGGAGGCTCCTGCCAAGGATGTCCTGAAAGATCTCGTGGAAATGTCCAGGGGCATTCAGAATCCTGTACGTGGGCTTTTCTTAAGGAGTTACCTTTCTCAAGTGAGTAGGGATAAATTGCCTGATATTGGTTCTGAATATGAAGGGTAAGGAAACCAGATATCATTCGTTCCTATATCATTTTTCTGTGTTAGGTAAATGTGCTTGCATTTGATTCAATTTGATTTGTCGGTATTCTTAACTTATGCAGAGATGCTGACACTGTCAAGGATGCTGTTGAGTTTGTCCTCCAAAATTTCACTGAGATGAACAAACTTTGGGTGCGGATGCAGCATCAGGTTGGTTGATACTTTTATAGAGTGCTGTCATGTTTAGACATGCATGGGTACCACAATGCTTGCATGTCATGAAGGTAAAAATATGTCATGAGGGCATGCTTTCTGGTCATGCAGGTGTTGTAGTGCTTGTGAATCATTCATACTCTTAGCTGATCCTGAGTTGAGGCTTGCTATCGGGCTTTCTGGTCTGCAGGGACCTGCCCGGGAAAAGGAGAAACGGGAGAAAGAAAGGAGCGAGCTACGTGATCTTGTAATCTCAGTAACTGATAGATGGTTGATTTCTCTCCTATAATGTTGTGCACGACTGCACGCTTACAGAATGCTTCTCTGTTGTTCCCTTAGGTTGGTAAAAACCTGCATGTCCTCAGCCAGATAGAAGGTGTCGATCTGGAGTTATACAAGGATACAGTACTTCCGAGAGTCTTGGAGCAGGTCTGGTTGATTTCGATTTATCTTATTGGTCAATTTTTTAAAGCTTATAATGCTTGACTCTCACCTGTTAACCATGAAAGTTGGCTTCATCAGTTGAATTTTTTTTTTTTTTAACAGGTTGTCAATTGTAAAGATGAGCTTGCACAGTTTTATTTAATGGATTGCATAATTCAAGTCTTCCCGGATGAGTACCACTTGCAAACTCTTGATATATTATTGGGTGCTTGCCCCCAACTTCAGGTAGCTAACATCATGTGCACAAATTGTGTGCGATCCGTATTGTTTCTGATTCATGACACATTACCAACATAGTCAGTATTTTGTTTATACTGTACTATTTCATATCTTGCATTCATGGGGTTTTGTGCACTGATCTTTTGAAACTGAAGGTTCTTTTGTCATTTGTTGTTGTCTTGGATTTTATGCACCTTCTTCATTGTAAGAGGTTTTGACATTTTGTTATGACATGTTGCACTAATTTTTAGCTGCGTGGATAGATGCATATCATTTTTCATAAGAAGAGAAGTGGAGCGTCAACTCTCCAAGAATGGATGAATGGAATGTTACATTCACGTTCTGCTTTCATTTAATAAATCAGTTAATAATTGGGCTAATAGTTTATGGACTTCATTTGGGTATACTCTTAATTTAGAATTTTTTTTGCCTGTGTTTGAAATTTGCTTGAGAATGTTGTCAGATTATGTATATTTTGTGGATTTACATTCATCATCGTTTTTTAAACTTATTTCTCCTCTGATTGTTGGACTTTCCTTTTTATAGCCATCTGTTGATATCAAGACAGTTCTATCCCAATTAATGGAAAGACTCTCAAATTATGCTGCTTCAAGTACAGAAGTGTTGCCTGAGTTTTTACAAGTAGAAGCTTTTTCCAAACTGAGCAACGCTATTGGAAAGGTAAAGCTTGTGTGTAGGAAGTTGGCAATTAAATACAGGGCTTGTGTTATTCTTTAATTATCTTTTTTTCTTATCTACTGTCACCAAGTGGTTGCACATGGACTCCGCAAGCTTTTGTGAACTTCTTGTTCTTCTGCAGGATAAGGCGTTCGTTTTACATATAAACTGTCTTGATATTTGTGTTTATGAGCATCTCTTTGTGTATTTATTTGCAGTCATATTGATACCTAAATAATATGCCAATGCAGGTGATTGAAGCACAAGTTGACATGCCTATCATAGGTGTTGTAACTTTATATTCATCTCTTCTTAAATTCACCCTCCATGTGCACCCTGATCGACTCGATTATGCTGATCAAGTGTTGGTATGTTCCCTTTACGAACTGTTTTAACATATGCATCCTTAGATCTATCTTCTGTGTATATCCTGCTGTTTTGTAAATTGATCAATGGGTTATTTATTATGAGCACTTGTTTAGATATTGTTGTATAGAAAGGTCAGCACATATGTAATTTGTTCCATTTTTGTTTTCTTTTCAGGGATCATTTGTTAAGAAACTCTCTGGAAAAGGGAAAATTGAAGACAGCAGGGCTACAAAACAAGTGGTTGCTCTTTTAAGTGCTCCACTTGAGAAATACAATGATATTGTCACTGCTTTGAAGCTTTCAAATTATCCACGTGTCCTAGGATTCCTTGATAGCGGAACAAATAAAGTCATGGCTACTGTTATAATTCAAAGCATTATGAAAAATACGACTCATGTTTTAACTGCTGAGAAGGTATGCCTTTACATTGTTTGCCCTTCTCTCTGAGTTTACTTCTTAATGACATTGAAAGCTATGTTTTACAGGTTGAGGCATTGTTTGAATTGATAAAAGGACTTATTGAGGATTTGGATGGAACTCCTGATGATGAGGTGATTTCTATATATGTTATTGGTCATACATTTGTTGATGATACAAAAGCTCCTCTTTAGGCTTCTACAATATTCTCCTCTGATTTTAAGCCGGGATATCCAATTATTTCTTATGTCAATCCACACGCTTTGGATGTGAACATATCTTTTCTCTCAATTCTAGGTTGATGAAGAGGATTTCAAGGAGGAGCAAAATTCAGTTGCACGACTTATTCAAATGTTCTCTAATGATGATTCTGAAGAGATGTTCAAGGTATTTGATTTGTTGAGCATAATATTCATGTGCCTCTTTCATATGTTTGCATAGCTTCTGTTTTTTACTCTTATGATACATGATCTTCTGTTGAGGTTATCCCAATGAAAGGGATGTGTATTAATTCTTGGGAGTCTTCCTGAGTTATATCCTTCTCCTTATGTTTTAATAGTTTTCTCATCTTTCTGTGCTAGTATACGGAAAATGTTACAAGAGCTACCATTTTTGCATTTTGAACTGATGTGACAGTTGAGTTGTCGTGCCTTGATTTCATGCCACCCCACTTCTGCATGTGGGATATTTGTCTTATATTGATGGAAGATATCACATTATCACTCATGGGCAATTTAGTTGGTATA